AAGTCGACAATGTGCCATGTCATTGGGCATTACGTCAGTACTGTTCTTTGTTGGCAATTATTACGTAATCATTTCACTTTTCGAAATATATGACAGGTGCGTGTGTACTGTATTATTATATATGACAGGGCGTTCTGCTTTCAATTCGAAGGTAATATTATTGATAAACGACGGCTTCAAGTCTCGTCAGACATAGCGGAAAATTAAAATAAATTGTATTGAAATCAATAGACATAATATGCGCTGTAAACGTAGTGGCTTATAATCGAATGTAAAATTGGAAAATCTCAGCATGGGGTTTCCATTTAAGTCAATTATACGAAAACAAAACGCCGCGGGTAGTGATTAGATTTGTAATTTCTGGAACACGGTTAGTGTATTGTGTCCTACACCGTATTACGCGTTTGACATAGGGAGGCACTGTAATTCTCTGTTCTGAAATATCTGCCCTATTATTTATCGCGGTAATTTAATTGTGGTTGAATGTCGTGGCTGAAATTGTTCCTAAATACTGAAATTTATTACAATAAATTATTTTCATGCACCGTGAGACACAAACAGAGCAATGATGTTGATTACACGTATTACTACTAGTTTAACGGAAAGTGTTTAGTCTACGTGCCGAGTAGTCGTGCAACATATGAAGTTGAACTGTATTCTTTAATTGAAAATAAATTCGATTTGAATTATGTCACGTAGATCAGCCATGGCTATTTGCCCCTGTCTGGACTAACTTAGTGGTGAATCTAGCGCGATAATGAAATCCGATATTGAGGGTATTCAGGAGAATAAAGTTAATCGCTTTCTCCCGGTTGTGTCGTGAAACCTTTACGATGTTGTTAAGTTATGAGTGAGTCGTTGACTCTGCTCTCTTAAAACGTCGAAGAATGTTCACTGTTGGTAACGTCTAAGCGTTCGCACATTTGGGGACCGCTTATTATTTTTTTTTACAGCATAAATATTTGAGATTCAGTCATCCAGGTGTCAGTCGCATGCTCCAACAGTGACATAGTTCCCGTCTGTTTCCAATGAACTTGACATGATGTATAAGGTTTCTGTATAGTTTGATTGTATCCGGTTCAAGAATGGCTGAAATGACCGCCATACAGCCATCTCGAATTGGATCGTGAAAAAAATGCATCTGTAGACGTGTGATGTGATGTATAATGTATTTGTAATGTTTGAATAATTTGGGAAGGATGAAATCTTTGTTTTTGAACTTTGTTAGAAAGGGAAAGAGCAATATCTTTATTTATAATATACTAGTGTCATTGTTACTTAAAACTGAATAAGACGTTCTGGTTTTGGTTGGTAACCTTCTTGTATTATCGGGTGAAATAACAAAAAAATACATTTCCATTTAACAAAACCTTTCAAAACTCGAGAGATTCTGAGACCGTTGTTTTAATCCCATATTGTTAAACTGTGATTTGGGAATGGGGGATTTAAGCAATAAATATAGCCTGTCTAACAAACCATATATCAACGTTCTGCTTGCAATGCTAAGCGAAACCACCAGGGAGACATTCCATTTGGGTCACCTTTGACCTCAAAGCATGACGGGGAATTAAGACAATCTGAATTCCCCAGGGCGATGGAATGATTTAGTGATGTAATTGTTTCTCTACTCCAGACACAGCGGCTTGCTGTGTTCGTAAAAACCAATCGACCTCGGCTCTGTTAACCGGTAACGTCTCAATTTTTTGTACGTGCCTAGCAGACTCGATCTGGTTTAGATAAATCTGACAGACGCAGCGTTTGTATGCGTTTTTAAGTGAGTCCGTTAATAAAATATTTCCTAATAATTTTGACCTTTAACCAATCGTCTCAGTCTAGAATGATTTCAGCCCAAAACTAATTCAGTCAGTCGGCAATATAATCTGAGAATTTACACTGAAATCATTTCCCACCATACAACCATTTGTTCGTATCTTGAAATTTTTACTATACGTATGTGAACATTATTTTATTAATAATATATATTAATATATTTAATAATTACAATTTAAAGCAGTGGTTTGGTGATATACATAAGATAAGTGAATTGGCATTAACGACTTAAGCGCACAAAATTCACTTTACATTCGGATCTCTGAAAACTCCACTCTTGGCTTCATTCAAAAAGGATAGTCGAGAAAATGTCAAAGGCGTCAGATGACTGAAATATGGTGCACTTAGCGTGGCTTAACATAGTTTGTCAAAGACGTAATGCAAACTTAATTGTCTGTTTCAATCTATGTTTTCAACGCTTTCTCAGTAACTGGATTACTAGGAGCTATTCCCATAACGTGAACACCTCCGGTGTATGTGTATCGCACAAATCACGGTTCAAGGCAACCATAGGACAATGAGGGCAATGATGTTCATCCCCGGGTTGTTTGTACGCGATAACTCGTTTTATTTCTGAAACAAATAATATAAAACCAGACAACACTAAAACTTGTAATGACTTGTTCTGATATTTACATTGAACATTGTGTGAAGCTCACTACACTGACAGGCACTGAAACAAAGCATAACTTAGACTGGTCAAATATATATAGTGAATTTACATATGGTATTTAAAGGACGGTAGTCGTCGTGCCACACATGCGCGTTATGTTTGGGTCTCATATAAACAAAGATGGCGAGTTTGGCTGTTGCGCAGACTAACAAGTAAAAACTGAGACTTTACCAAGCTTTAATTAGGTATATATTTTCAGGTGATTGAAATGTATCAAAGGAGTCACCGGTGGTAATCAGTGCAAGTCGCGCCAAGGTCAAACCTCATACTCGGGATTTCAATTAGAAGAGCGCATGGATTGTGGGAAAATCAACACAAATGTCGCACATGCGCAACGCGACGATTTCGCCCTTTAATCATTTGGTGTGTACTCGTATTATTTATCAAGTTATTGTTGCTGAAAATAGTACACAATACATACTTGTGAGAAGAATATTTGTTCTAAGCATATTTGTTCTTTGTTATAACTAAGAATAATTAATCACTTGTTGTAAATATCGATAAATAAATTTTGTTTAGATAGACTAAGCATTTAGAAAATATATTTCACTACACTTTATAGCCTATGACCTGTGTTGTGTTGTGTTATTAAACACCATGTCGCATTTCAGTCGTATCGCTTTCTGAATTCACAAGTTTCATAGAAATAACTATACAAGGTATCAACCACAGTTGGGGCGGACACAGCAACATTGTAGCTCATATTCATGTTTCCACATTGAATGATATTTTTCGGCCATTATATTGTCATTTCATCGTTCATTATCTGTTCATATGTTCATTATCTGGCCAATTGAGTTTTTGTTTTAATTTGTTTTTCATTTCTGGTTATTCACTCTCCATTTTTTTTAAGTATAACATCATAATGATATGTGTATATCCCATTGAAAATATGACGGAGTGTTTTTTCATTACAATAAAACGTCAATAAATTCCAAAATTTCACAGTAGATTTGACCTGTCGTTTGTCACTCGGAATACAAACCTAGCGTAGTTGTAATTATTCATAGAAGAAAATGTCATCTGAAGCCGTTCCTTGGGGGGTTGTCGCTCACACGGTATATACGACCTTATCTCACGAATGTGACTCACAAAGTAAAGTTACCAGAAAATTGATCGTGTAAGCTAACTATTGCTTTATGCTGACGGTGTGTGCTACGGTGTCACAATTTGATGGGGTTTCTGGTCCGGTCCATGACTGTATTTGAAGATTTCGGGTCACATTTTGATAATCAGTATATTGCCGTGACGTGGACTTATATACCGTGGCTCTGACAGTGTTACAGAATAGTAAAAACAGAGTGCAATTTCAAGTGTATTTGAAACAAACTACTCGATAAAACTGGTCGGAAAATACTATGGTAATTTGTCTCAAGTAAATTCCCTCTAATGCTACATCGATGCAAGTACGTGAGGGCCACTGAGAATTCTAATAAGAAATATTAAAATGGCTGTACCCACGGGCGTAAGTGAAATGGCTAACACGGTACATGGTAATATATCAGCGGAATACAAAGTATGATAAGCGTAGTTTGTTTGAACATAATATTTACACATTGCAGATATGTTCCGCTCTATCGTTGGTTCTGATGAAGCGCCACATGTTACAATGAACGTTCTGAAGTTTTTTAAGCATTTTGAATACATACATGATCGACGGAAAGACGCATAAGCAATGGACGTCACAAAAGGTCAACTCTAGAATAAGGAAACGTGTTCTAGTGATTTTAAAGGGCGGCAGTCGTCGTGCCGCGCCCTGTTCAATATGGAACTCATAGTGACGTATACAACGCGTGTAAAATACTTTGTGTATTTACATGCAATTCGAACACGCGCTGCGCGACGACCACCGCGCTTTGACGTAACGCCATGGTCTTCCAGGGTAAACAAAAATCTAAATTTCCATTAAACGTTTCATGTCGTAAATTCACTGTATCGTTACTTTTGATACACTGGCGTTTTCCGATGTTCCTTCGCCAGAGGAGATTCACAGTGGCGGCGGCAGTGAAAGGAGATAATTAAGTTAGTAATACGGGGAAGCTTCTCGTGAACATCCTTTCAATTGTCACACTATATTCCTTTAAAACATCTAACTCTTTCTAATACCAAATTAAATTGGTAAACAAACATAAACTATCTGATCACATATGCGAGAATTATTATTTAATATGAATATTTTTCAGTTTTTCACATTAAATGTCCCCTTCTCCCTTTCTCATACCTTGAACTCCCAAATAATTATGTACTTTTTCGCGCGGTCCAGGCAATGGTGCCGCGATGTTCTATTCTCAGACTTTTCAATGTGAGCCAAACGTGTCACCAGCTCACACCAAGCGATTCCGTGAAAAGGGGATGTAGTCCAGTAATGGTCAACGTTAGTCAGACGTTACTTACTTACCATCGATTGCTTGGATTTTATTGCTTTCACTAATTATCAGATAACAAAAGACATAGAACAGCTAACATATGTAGTTATATAAAGTTGTAGCACATTCCCTCTATATAGAGGATAGAGGGACTGTAATTGTACCGACCATGAACGATTATAAGAACGATTATACAATAATCAAATAAAGAATTGTTTAAAAATGATGATCATCATATACTGGTGAATATATGATAATGAAAAAACGGCCATATAACAGCCAAATTATGATTTTATAATGGCAGATATCATATAGTGACAATAGACGATCATAATCAAATAATGGTCAAAAAATGTCATATTATTGTAAAATTATGGGATTAAAATGGAGAAAAAACGAACAAATAATGACCACATAATGATCAAAAATTATCATACAATGATGGAAAATAATTATTACCATATCACAGTCACAAAACCACGATAAAATAATTTGTGACAGTACATAATGCATAACTATTAAATTCATATTGTTTCTGTCTTACAGATACATTGCCATAGTGATGCCTTTGAAATATACAACTATCGTAACTAACATGAGAGCATGCATACTGTTGACCGGTGTGTGGGTGACCAGTTTTATCAACGCTTCGTGTCCGTTAATGGGATGGTCTAGGTATATATTTCTACCGCCTAATTGCATATGCGTGCCCGACTGGAAACTGGATAGATCGTACGCGTACTTTTACATTTCGACCTCATTCATGCTGCCGTTTTCAATACTGATATTTTGTTACTATAGGATTTTTCAAGTTGCTAGGCAACAGTCCAAACGAGTCACGTCCCTGGAAGTTTCGAGTGAAGTTCCAACGCCAGGGCCGTCGCGCCAAGTGGATAACAGAAATAAGGCTAAACCCAAGCAACTGAATATGAGAAAGGAAAAAAAGGCGGCCGTAACATTATTTTTTGTGATGGGTGTGTTTATCATATGTGTAACGCCTTACTGCATTATTTACTTGTGGATTTCGTACAATCCGAACAACAATTTAAAATTGGCATTTGGGATAGCCTCGATGATATCATTTGCCAACTCAGCGGCGAACCCCCTTATATACGGCATTTTAAATCGAAAATTCAGACACTGTTTTCTGGATATTTTCCGGTGCGATTTCTGCCCTCGATCCTCGCTGTCGACAAACGCTACCGACCTTCATTCTGGCGTGGGTGTCACTGCGAGTCACGTGACAAGGAGGCAACGCCTGGTACCTCGTGACAGTGGTTACGTAACGACCAGTACATTTACCCAGACAACGAGTCAGTTGCAGAATCACAGTAGGCGCTCGTCAGGCATCTTCTCCATATCTGTTGCTGCGACAAGTAGTGTGTTATCTTCGTTGGGAGGTAATATGAAAGAGATACCTAAACTTGCTTCAGGACAACTACCGCCAATTGAGGATGTGGTGTAGTTATTCACCGTACGTACATTAAGAACATTTGTTAAGGTTGTTATGTCGGCAAAATTATCTTTGAAGCCTTTGACATGTGAAGTAATATGTCTTCCGTAATAAATGCAACAGCTACGGGATTAGCCTTGCCAATAGTCGAACATCACCGAACAGTTTCATGGTTCAATTGTGAGTGAATCGTTGATTCACCAAGTCCGGATCTCGCGAGATTTTGTGTTCGAAGATCGAAGATAGACTATATTGCAAAATTAATATGTATAAGATTAGTCTGGGACGCAAAATAGACTCTTGAGTTGTTTCTTGTGTCACCATTAGGTCTCTTCCTTTTAACTTTTAAAAAAGGATATTCTTCTCATGTTACCACTGCGTTCGACG